AGAATGGCTGCTTTAAATGTACATACACACCTATCTAAAAAGAGCTTCATGTGGTGGTTGATCACCAGTATTTTCCTTCAAATATTGTTGCACCTTGAAATAATGGATAACATTCTAGTGCATATGTTGCCATAGTAAAAGTGATTGTCAGGAGCTGGCTGGTGGGAGAGAGGTAGGAAGAAAATGGGCAAACAGTCAAAAAGCTGAACATGTCCTGAAACAAGCTGGACATGAAATTCTATTTCAAAACACAGAAGTACTGGACAACACCAGCAGTCATTATGTTAGACTGCACAGGGAAGCCACTGAAATCCACAAACACCAGCAGAGCTTCAACAAAAAAGAAGAAAGTCTAAAACTCAACAAAGCCTGGCTCCCAGCACTGAAAAATACAGCCTGCAAATAGTTAACGAACTCTACCCAGCCACAAGGACTGGTGATCACTGCACACAAAAGACCAGCTAACAACACTCATCACTCACAGTGACAGATCATCTCTCCCTTTACCACAACAATACACCAACGACAAAAACACGCCAATCACCACAATCACCCAATCTCCTGACAAGGACAAAAAGTTGATCCCACAGCTATAATACTCAACTGTCCCACAAACTGCACCAGAGCACAGACAGAGTTCTGACTCCTGTCCTCTGAAGATGCTGGCCACGAAGACTGGCGAAATGTTAGGAAGAAACATATCCAAACAACCCAAATGTTAGGAAGAAACATGTCCAAACAACCCGAAAAACCTACAACAACCATCAAACAAAAAGCTGCATAAAACGTTCATTGGTTTGGTATGATTTGGTTTGTGGCTTTCAATGAACCCAAACTAGCTCAAACCAATGAACCAGCTATTTTTAACGAACTTCTTAGTTTGTTTGTTTTTTGTTTGTGCCAATCTCTATCCTCTACTATAATAATAATGTGCCATCCTATCGATTCCAACTTATAGTGACCCTATCCTGGGTTTTCTAGGTTTACCATTTCCCTTCTTTTAAGGGTGCCCTGGGACTGTGCGGTTTGCCCAAGCACAGCAAGGAATTAAACTCTTGACCTCTGTCCCCAGAGCCAGATACCTATCTCACAGAATGATCCAATTTTTTACAGTAATTTCTGTTGCTGCAGACAAAGTTCAGTCACCAGTTGACAGGACTGGATAATAATTTTAGCTGCCCAATGGTTTGGTCTGTGCCTTATTAAAGGTTCATCTTTCTCACAGAAATATTTATTCCTTTTTTACTCCAGTCACTGTTGCTTCAGTCACTATGCTGGAGACAGAGATCCAGAGCCATTTTAAGTGCAGAGGTTGGCACTCTGCTCCCTTTAAGGGCATTCTGAAAGAGGATCTCGGGAAGAGAAGTCTAAGGGTCTAGCCCAGCACCTGGACACTTGCCATAGATTTAGGTCACAGGAGCAGCCTGCATTATTGATTCACTGTATGGAACCCAATAGTCTTAATGTAGCTTACTTGTGCAGCTGCATGTTTGCCTTGTTAAACAGAGGAAAAATCACAACAGATCAATCAGTGGTGGACCTACATTTTGATGTCATGATGTCTGGACTGTTATGGGAGCAGTGGCAACCTGCAATGAGGTCAGGGTAGCTACTGTTATCTTCTTCAATGATGTTATTCCATGACAACTCACCACATTTTTGTCACTAAGTTGATTAGGGGCACTGAAATTTAAACTTCGTTAGTTTCATAGTAGATCTGTCTCTGAGTTCAGTTATTAAGAGATGTTTGTGTAGTATTTTTGAATTCATAAGAGTTCTTCATTTAGATTACATAATATAGCAAGGGTGATGGAGTAATCAGTTTTAATTATAAATATATATTATCCAAGGTGTTTCACATATGTCTTCAATAATGTGGAACCCAAGACAGAACAGTGGGAAATGTCACAGTCCGGTTGCCTGAAGGAAACCTTCAGAAAGACTTTCTGAATTCATCCTATAAGGAGAGGCCAGTTCCACTACAGAACAGTGCCATTAAGGCCAGTTCCAGAGAAGGAGCCTGGATGTCATTGGCAATGGTATCACAAGTCAGCCAGAGATTCAGCAGGGACACGTATCCTAGTGCTGACCATCTATCACAACAACCAAAGACATTTCCATGCCAAAGCCAGGTCTAAAATCAGACGAAATTGGATCAACATAATCCATCTCATTCAGGAATCTTTGAAACTGATATAACACAACATGCTCCAACAACTTAGCCACAAAAGTAATATTGGAGAATGACCATTAATTGTCCAATATAGTTGATCTACAGGAATATTTTTAGTAAAGGACCTGCGATTAGCTCTTTTGGGTAAACACTGTTTTCCTGCAGAGAAACTTTCACCATTAACTGTATGCATTTAGCTAGTCTCTGAACTGCCCAAGAATTGATGCTTTTGAATTGTGGTGCTGGAGGAGAATCTTGAGAGTCCCTTGAACTGCAAAGACAACAAACCTATCCATTTTGAAGGAAATCAACTCTGAGTGCTCACTGGAAGGACAGATCCTGAAGCTGAGGCTCCAATACTTTGGCGATCTCACAGAAGAGAAGAGAAGAGAAGACTCCCTGGAAAAGACCTTGATGTTGGGAAAGAGTGAAGACAAGAGGAGAAGGGGGCGACAGAAGACGAGATGGATGAACAGTGTCATCGAAGAGACCTCTGGGTAGTGTGGGCAGCATATAAATTGAATAAATAATAACATGAATTTGACACAACTCCGGGAGGCCGTGGAAGATAGGAGGGCCTGGCGTGCTCTGGTCCATGGGGTCACGAAGAGCCGGACATGACTTAACGACTAAACAACAAAGTCTCTGAATCTGAATAGCTCCAAAGAGAGGAGAGAGTACAGGGCTCTAACACACATACAGAGGCAATGTTTCACACTTCTCCATGAATCCTGGCCACATCTATTATTTCTCCCTGTACTTATTGCTTATGGCCCACAGCTCCTCTGACCATTACCAAGCCAATCTCGATGTGTTAGATAGGATTATCAGGGGACATAGTAGTTAATTTCTCCAACCTTCTAGATAGCTCAATGGTGTAGAGATTGGGAGTCTGATGCCACACTGTGCCTCTTTGACAGTGACTGGACCTGATGACTCATAGCGTCCCTTCTAGCTCTGCAGTTCTAAGATTACTATTACTATTATTGCAGACGATGACCTGATATTTGACAGATTATTTTAAAATTTCAGAATTGACTACAGAAATGTCAATTATTTGATTCCTTTGCTTTGAAGGCAGATCATTTTAATAGATCTTTCAGCCCACCACACCTATTTAATTTATGATAATGATGGGTTTTCTATTTTCAGTTGCAATTGGCTATTTCTCAGTTTCCCATTTAGTCTTTCAAATTCATTTTTCACAGGATAGGTAAAGGTAAAGGTTCCCCTTGACATTTAGTCCAGTTGTATCCAACTCTAGGGCGCGGTGCTTATTTCTGTTTCCAAGCCGTAGAGCCAGCGTTTGTCCAAAGACAATCTTCCGTGGTCACATGGCCAGTGCGACTTAGACACGGAACGCCGTTACCTTCCCACCGTGGTGGTACCTATTTATCTACTTGCATTTGCATGCTTTCAAACCGCTAGGTTGGCAGGAGCTGGGGCAAGCAATGGGAACTCACTCCATCATGCTCTCTCTCACTCTTCTGACCCTTGAGAACAGAGGCTTTTGCAGTGTAACCCACAGCACTACCACATCCCTTCACTGTTCATAGCATGAACAATGATTAAACATAGGTATACAAGCCAGATTTCTACTATTATTACACAAGTCTTAATTCTTCCATCTCCTTCCCACTCTGCTACCTCTTCATTTTTGAAGAGTTTTTTTTTACTGTGGTTCATTACATAACCCTTAACTCCTGTCCTTCCCCCAATGAAGCAGAGAAATGAGCATTCACTTGTAGCAAACATGTTTTTCTCAGCAATGCCACAGAGGATTCATAATGTGAGCAGGAAAAAAATTCCTTCCCCCCCTCTGCTCCTAGTTAATAACCTTCTGGAACCCAAATGGCTTATATAATATCTAAATAGTAAATAACTTAAATATCCACTGTGCCGTTTAGTCAAATGCAAGTTGGGTTCTGTATGTCTCATCTCTGAGACTTCAGGATTTGTCTCCCACATTACAGGACAGGTGGTATACTCAGGGAGACGATAAGGACAATGTGACATCAAGAAAAGAAGTGTTCTGAAAAACATCCTCGTTTAGAATGGTGGCATTAGTATTTCTGGTGTTGATGCTACTGCCACACATGGTCTGCAAAGCGTATGCAGCAAAATGTAAGATCAGCAAGCCTTTCCCCATTTCTCACATGTATTTTCAACCAGGAGATTTCATCATCGGTGGCATTACTTCTGTTGTCTTCTTGCCGGATGTTGAAAGCAACTTCACTCATTACCCCCATCTTGTGACTGGTGAGAAATTGTAAGGAAGTGTTTTCCATTCTGACAGTATCCTTCTCCTTGTTGCATAATAGAGAGATTGTTGTTGCTGTTGTTGTTGTTATGTGTGCCATCAAGTCACCTCTGAATAATGGTGATCCCATGAATGAATGAATGATCTCCAAATTGTCCAATCTACACTTATCTTCTCAGCTAGATCTATGATACAACAGACAATATCTCTAGGATTCTTTCAGTCCTATTGACTGAGTAAAAAAAGAATCTCTCTCTCTCTCTCTCTCTCTCTCTCTCTGTGTGTGTGTGTGTGTGTTGTTCCACAATGAAGCCAATACCTATTGAATGGGCATGTATTATGTTAGGCAAATGGTTCCAAGCAGGCCTTAATACTACAATGGTACTTATATATTCCACTATCAGAACCCTGATTTGATATGTTGATTTATAATAAAATGTGTCTCTTTGAAATCAAGGCATTAATTCCAAAGAAGCCTATGGGGAAAAAAACAAATGTTTCTGGCAGAAAACTATGGATCCATGCATTTCTCTGTAAAATTCAACATACAATTTTCTTTGTAGTGTAATGGCCAAGAATTATCAGCATGTGTTGGCTTTAGTATATGCCGTGAAGGAGATAAATGAAAACCCTCACATCTTACCTAATCTTACACTGGGCTTAAACATCTATGACAGATATGGTGCAGGTTGGACATATTATGCCACTATGAAGCTGTTCTCCTCAGAGCAGAGTTTTATCCCCAATTACAAGAGGGTCATCCACAACAACCTTATCTCAGTTATTGGGGCTCTTTACCCTGAAACGTCCCTCCATATGACTAATATATTGGGAATCTACAAAATCCCACAGGTAGGGTGTATGAAAAAGTAATTTTAATAACTCAATTGAGACTGTTATTAATACTCTCTTTGGTTTGAATCCAAAATATCCTTTGCATGCATAGAAGAACTTAACGGGTGGGAATTACTCCATCTCCAAACTGGCAGTTCATGCCCATCTCTGTTTCCAAGTAGTAATCATTGTTATGGCAATTTTAAAAGGAGCACACCATGAGATTTGACAGTGTGGGTTGTGAGAGTAGTTCCGTTGAGATTTGACAGTGTGGGTTGTGAGAGTAGTTGACCATGAGCGCCACTAAACATGGTTGTGTGGTTGCATTCCTGTTCATAGGACTTAGATTGCAAACCTGTAACTACCTACTCAGTCTGCATGCTGCCCATTCCTGTTCATAGTACTTAGATTGCAAACCTGTAACTACCTACTTGAGAGTAGGAAACATTAAACACAGTAGACATTAATTCTGTGTAGATGTATATTGGCTGTAACCCTGTTTTGGGGCTCCTCTGATTAGAGGTTTCCTTTGGTGCTTTTGGGACCCTTGTAGGTTCATCAATTGTGTACGAGTTCCAAGTGCTCCTGAATCATCCTTTAATCAGCAGTGCACCCGGCTGTGTAACAGGATTTTAGCCTCTTTTTGTGCTCCTGAATCATCAGTGGTATGCCTTTAATCAGCAGCGCACACGGCTGTGTAACAGGATTTTAGCCTCTTTTTGCTGGGATTAATCCTACTTCTAAAAGCAGAGTTTCAATTATTTGCAGAGATGAAGTAAGAGCTGTTCATTAGAGTTGTTGGTTTAGAGCTTTATTTCCTAGTGGAGTCAGAATAATTATCTTATTGAATCTCCACAGTGTGAAAAGTTCCACTAACATAACAGCCCAAGACTGCACTGGCTTCACAAATAGTGTCAGTGCACAAGCAGTAAACTCTGTTAAGAAAATGTAAACTTTACTTACACAGGGCAGCACTTGCTAAAACACTGTAATTCCACTTCACTATGTTCAGTAGGATGATGGCCATTATATACTGACTTTTAAACAAATATTCAATGAGTTGAAATTGTATACTTTTATGAGGCACACTTCAGTTTGTTTCCCATCAAACTTCATGTCAACATTCATTGGTGGGACAATCAATACGATCTGGGACATAGGCTGCACCGACCCTCACCCTACTTCTCTTCTTGTAGTTCATGTATGGCTCTGCTCCATTGGTCACTCATAATACAGAGAACCTTCCTTTCTACCAAATGGTCCCAAATGAATACTATCAGGCTAAAGGAATCACACAGTTACTTTTGCACTTCCGTTGGATTTGGGTTGGTGTCATCGCTAAAGACAGTGAGAATGGAGAAAGGTTTGTGCGAATGTTACTTGCACACTTTTCCCTCCATAGCATCTGTGTTGCCTTCATAAAAACAATAAGGACAATTTATTTTGCTGGCCTTTTTGACATACTGATACCATTGCTGAAAATATATCCATGTTTAAATAACAATGCCAACGCACTGGTCATCTATGAAGATCATGTATTTTATTTGAGAGCATTGCTGTATCTACCACAGATAGCAGGGCTAGAAGGACCTAAAGGTAAAGTCTGGATTATGACAGCCCAGATGGATCTGATGGCTTTGTCTTTCCAAAGGAATTGGGATATACAAACTCTCCATGGTGCTCTTTCCTTCACCATTCACTCAAATGAAGTATTGGAGTTCCAACATTTTCTTCAAACCAGGAATCACTTCTTGATTGAGGAAGATGGTTTTCTCAGGGACTTTTGGAAAGAGGCATTTGAATGTGGATTTCTGAACCCAGGTGATAGCAGGGAAGCTGGTAATTCATGTACTGGAGCAGAGAAACTAGAAAGCCTTCCTGGAACTTTTTTTGAAATGAATATGACTGGGCACAGCTACAGCATCTACAATGCTGTCTATGCTGTGGCCCATGCTTTGCAGAACATGCAATTGCACCAACCCAACAAGAGAGGACCAATGACTGGATCTAGAGCATTTTCCAAGAATCAACAGTCATGGCAGGTAATGGCATGAGAGGCAGATATATGAGAGAAAAAAACTCTAGAAATGCCTATATACAACAGATATACAATACTTTCAGTAAGTATTTTGTACTTCCTCCACTTCTCATTAATGGATCACAGAGGTACAGTATGCAGTCTGGAACACGGACTGAAAGAGGCCATCAGTTTGTTGGGATGATCCTTCTTATGTGCTTTAAAATATACCTTTTGTCAGGTTCCCATTATTGCAAGCCAATGTTGTCAGTGATCAAGAGGAATGATCAGGACTCAGTAGTACAGGTCCTGATGGTTCATTAATTAAAATCACACACACACGTATATAAATGGAGTGCAAGGGTCACACATGGTGTATAGGTCACATATTGCCCACCTTTGTGCCATAGAACATGCATGCATTATAAACCTACCACACTTAGTATCAATATAAGGTAGCATTTTAAACAAAGATATTTACAGGAAGCCTCTGAGAACACCTATCCATTATAAGAAAGGCAAGTAGCAGATGAATACAGAATGTGGAAGTGACCAGTTGTCAATAGTAGTTTTGTTGCATTTCTGGAAATCTCACCTGTATTTTCTTCCTGGAGGCTGGAGGCATTCAAGAGAAAATTGGACAACCATCTGCTGCATGGTCTACTTTGACTTGGATTTCCTCCACTGAGCAATGGGTTTGACTCAATGAATTTATAGGTCCCTTCTAACTCTAATACTCTATGATTTTAAACCAGGCAAATTCAACATTCCTGCATTTGATTTGTACGCTTTCCCCACTTTTTTGTGTTGGAGAGAGAAGTGTGTGTTTGTTTACTCATTTTCTATAATCTGCACATTGATTTAGTCATTTTCTCTAACTAAATCATATCACCTACTCTGTGAGTATTCTCATCTCTGACATTTTAATGCATGTACATAACTTTGTGTATTTCTCTGACATGTCCTGTAGGTATTGCAAACGCATACATTTTCCAGGAAAGGTACCTTCCCCCCCCATAACTACTCTTGACAGAAATGCCACCTCTATCAAGACTGCCAGTTGTGATGAAATTCTTTTCCATCCTTAGGAAAATTGGAAAGGGTCATGTTATATTCCAGCTCTGTAGTTGATGATCTATGCAAATCTTCTCACAGGCTTTTGTTTGCATATCCAGCTCCACTATTTTCTGAAACGCATCTCATTTAATAATACTGTGGGAGACAAGATTCACTTCAACTGGAATGGTGAATTGGTAACTGGCTTTGATATTGTTAACTGGATCACCTTCCCAAACCAGTCCTTTCACAGAAAGAAAGTTGGATGGCTGGATGCCCACAGTCTTGCTGACAAAACACTCAAAATCCACGATAATGCCATTTCATGGCACAACAGTTTTAATCAGGTAGGATTTAACTGCATGTGACTTGAGAGGTATTTTTATTTTAAAGTATTTGTTTTCTACAGGAAAAATGCATTGCATAAAAACAGGTATGGACAACACGAGGGACCCTGGTTAGGCCCTCATGCCCTACCAACATAGCTTTCCCCCCAAACTGAAAATAAACTGAAAATAAATGGAAGAATAAATGGAAGAAAATTCTCATATTTGAGCTCTTTAGGGGCATTGAAGGCAATTTCATGATATTTTGAGGGCCTCCCAACACTCTTGATACTCCGTACACTCTTTTTTAGTTAAATATTTTGGAGAGGTGCTAGAGGAGGAACATTAGAGGGTGAAACAGACTCCAAGATCTAGGGAATGTTATGTGTGCCCTCCCCTGCACTGTAGAGACTACAAAGCTTTTCTGACTATTGAGTTGAATTTAGATTGAGTGAGAGATCAATAGATATCAGTGGGATTTTAATAATGATGACCTTGCAAAACTCCTGTCTATCCCCTTTGAGAAGCAAAGACACAGAGTACAGAAGGGTTGGCCAATTGATTAAAAAGGCAGTCACAGCCCACCTGATGCTTCTGATTTTTAAAAGTCGGTGAAACAAAACAGCCCGGATAGCAGCTCTCATTAATTGTGTTATTCTCATTATTGACATAAAAATAGCTTTGGCAAATGCAAACATTTTTGTTGAGAACCACGTAGTAGGCATCACTCACATTACAACTGTATGCTTGATTATGTAACTGTTGCATGCTTAGCAATGTCATTGATGGATTGCCGATTAGTGGTAATCAAGCCATGGTGAATAAAGCAGATGCAAGCCATCAACAGGATTTTGGCCTTCAAGTAAATGTATTCAAGTCTGGTTGGGTGACAGTGATTTCATTGTCCTCCCCCAGCCCAAAATAAAGAGGTAGACACAAGTTGTTAGTATTTAGAAATTGCTCGTCTTATATATCAATGTACTCCAGCAGCCTTTGGGAAGCTCCCTAGAAATCTGAAAATACTATTTTGCGTTGACAATTCATTTGCTTAGCTATAAATTCACTACTGAAGAAAAATAATCAAACATGTTTCTGAATGGTACTATTCTACTTTGAACCAGACATTGCCCATCTCTGTGTGTACAGAGAGCTGCTACCCTGGTTATTTCAAGAGAAACCAAGAGGGGAATGCATCTTGTTGTTATGATTGTATGCCATGTCCACAAGGAGAGATCGCAAATCAAAATGGTGAGGATACGCAGGGTTTTTTGTGTCAAGAAAATTGATTTTATTCAACCATGTTGAAAGAAATTTATCGAGGTGCAACATTTGCTGTTTTACAAATGTGATCATTTTATGTGCTCTTGATAGTTGCCAGAGTTGGGTAGTTGCAGCATACAATATGGGGCTGTGTGCAGATCCTCTGATTGAATCTGAAGAGCAGTTTGCGACTTTAGACTGAATCCCAATTTGATCAAGAATGATTTGTACCCCATCTGGTTTGATGTGTGCCTCACATCCAAACTGGGGGAAGGCAAAACAACAACCAACCAACCAACCAAACAAACAAAAAACCCACCTCTTTGAGTAATAGAGACAAAGTAAAAAAAGTGGCAGAAATTCATTGGTCCTTGAACGATGACTTAAAGAAATAATTGGATGAAGGTAATCTTACAAAAGGGCATGGGAAATAAATTGTTAAATAGTAGTAAAACTACCAGATAGGAACATAAAACAATAACTAAAGGGAAACAAGAGAAAATGTAAACATTCTTTTATTCTCCGCTGTATTTATATTTATATTTCTTATTTACATTGGTGCCGTTAAGATGACTAATGTAATCATGACAGGAGTCAAGTGTCAGTAAAACAGGGAATCTGCAAATTTTGCATAGTTCTCAATCCACAGCCCTGTATGTTTGGCTTTACACACATTGTGGAGATAAAGTACACCACTCTTCAAAATGAGACATCCTTCCCATGTGTACTGGCCAATTTCCAGAGTGCCTGTAAGGGATACACTAATATAATATATATAAGGGATTTTTAAAATTAATATTTAAAAATAGATAAGTGGTATTTTTATTATTGTTAATAATTATCACTCCTCCTCATCCTATTATCATAATAAAGAACAACATTATTAAGCAGTAGCAGTCGTCAGACCCTGTAGAACCAAACAGCATTACCGAACAATTTCAGCTGCGAATGAATATATCACATATTTTATCATCTGTTAGAAGCAACTTCTCTTGCCTTCAATATAGACCAATGTGCATGAGATAATTAAATAGTTTCATTGTCAGATAAATGATTTTCCCAAACTGATCCAGTGTATTTTGTGGCTGATTGGGATCCTGTGTATTGCCAAAGCCCCTAACCTTAGGCTCCCTACAGTAAAGCAGAAGAAAATAAGTCATGTTATAATTAACATTCCATAGAGCAGTGGTCCCCAACCTTGGGCCTCCAGATGTTCTTGGACTTCAACTCCCAGAAATCCTGTCCAGCAGAGGTGGTGGTGAAGGCTTCTGGGAGTTGTAGTTCAAGAAGATCTGGAGGCCCAAGGTTGGGGACCACTGCCATAGAGTATCTTAACTTAATCAGGTGTTTTGCATTTGGTAGGATGTTTTTCACTGAGCAAAATATGTTCATTTTCAGATATGGATAGATGTTTCAAATGCCCTGAAGATCAATATCCAAGCAAAAACCAAGATTCATGCATTCCCAAGATAATAAGATTCTTGTCCTATGAAGAGCCTTTGGGAATCAGCTTAAGTAGTTCAGGCCTTTCCCTTTCTTTGGTTACACTTTTGGTACTAGGTACATTTTTGAAGCACCATGAGACTCCCATTGTCAAAGCAAATAACAGGAACCTCACCTATACACTCCTCATCTCCCTTCTGATCTGCTTCCTCTGTGTTTTGCTTTTCCTCGGCCAACCCAAGAAGACGACATGTCTGCTTCGACAAATTACTTTTGCCGTTGTCTTCACAGTTGCTGTGTCATGCATTTTGGCAAAAACTATCACTGTGGTGATGGCTTTCATGGCCACCAAGCCAGGAAGCAGGGCAAGGAAATGGATGGGAAAGAGGATGGCCAACTCCATCATCCTTGGCTGTTCTCTTATTCAAGCAGGGATCTGTAGTGCCTGGCTATCAACCTCTCCTCCATTTCCAGAGACAGACATGGGCTCATTGCCTGAAGAAATTGTACTCAGATGCAATGAGGGCTCTGTGGCTATGTTTTATTGTGTACTGGGCTACATGGGCTTCCTGGCTATTGTCAGCTTCACAGTGGCTTTTTTGGCCAGGAAGTTACCTGACAGATTTAATGAAGCCAAGTTCATCACTTTCAGCATGCTGGTTTTTTGCAGTGTTTGGTTATGCTTTGTTCCAACCTATCTGAGCTTCAATGGCAAATATTTGGTAGCTGTGGAGATCTTTTCCATCTTAGTCTCTGGTGCTGGATTGCTGGGTTTCATCTTTTCTCCCAAATGCTACATCATTGTGCTGAAGCCTGAGCTGAACAACAGGGAACACTTCATGAAAAGAAAACGTTGAAGATGTGGATGTTGTTTAGAAGGCAGTCATCGTCATTATGTGTCATCAAGTTTCTAACTTATCCTGATTCTTTCTACATAGAGACTACTCAGTAGTGGGTTACCATCCCGTTCTGTTCCACTTGCCCAAGGTTACACAACCTGGCTTTTCTGCCTGATGGCATAACGGTAACTCAAAATCCTAACCGTCTACCTTACTCACTAGACAATCCAGCCAGCTTTGTAGATATATATCCACAAGATTTTTTCAATTATTTTCATTTCTGTTCTTCCTTATTGGTCACAGTCTTTCCCCTCGTATCTCCTCTCTCTTTCTTTCTTTTTGCATACAGAATCTTCTAAACATAACTTTCTTCCTTTATACAATATGTACCCTGGTTTGTTACCATTTCCATCAGGTGCATGGCAGCTAAGAATTGAAAGAAAATAAAACTATGGTAAGTAGGTGAAAGCATGACAAGGATTAATGGAAACATAAGCTTAATTAAAAAGCAACTTTAATGCATCAAGGTGAAGTGAGAGTGGCAGTTTCTCTCTGGGTTAAAAATGCATTTTTACAGACATCCTTCCTAGTTCTCTTAAACAGGACTAAATAAAAAGATCCTTTTGCCTGTTGGCAGAAGGCTAGGTAAGAGAGGGTAAGCCTAATTACCTCAAGTACAACTACATAAAACTCTTTAAATTTCCAAAGATCTTTATTACTTAATAGAGATTTACATATATTTATATCCCAGTCTTCTTGAACTACAACTCCTAGAAGCACTGATCATTGTCTATGTTTGCTATGGCTTCGGGGAGTTTGAGTCCAAGATCATCTGGGATCCTAAATTCAGCAACTATCCTTTGAGTATTCTTCTATCTTTATATGCCTCTTTGGATAACTTGGCCAACATTAGAAATATTTTACTATTATTCAGTACTATATCAGCTCTGGGGATTGCATTGTATAAGCATACCTTTCTTTCTTTCTTTCTTTCTTTCTTTCTTTCTTTCTTTCTTTCTTTCTTTTAATCTGCCATTACTCATGCATATTAAAAAGGAATAGCAAAACCCATTGTTATTTAATTACCTCTAATATGTAAGAGTGGCTACTAAAGTTTAGAAATAGCAAAAATGAAATATTTTTATTTTAAGACTTACTCTGTTTCTTCACTCACACCAGCCCATCTACCCTGCCTATTCATAGTTCACATATAGCTCTGTTGCACTCAGGAAAAAAAATATTTACACTTATTCCTTGTAACAAATCAAGGTGATGAGCATACAGATGTTATCAAACTACTTTTGCACTTTCAAGAGACATGTCTTGCATCCTGGTTAAGATGTACTTATGAGCATCAACTTCGAACTGCAATGCTTCTTGAAAGCACTGAATAACACTGAATGGCACAAATAGGTGATGAAGGTCCTAGGAGTACTTAGGGATGAAATAAAGTTGAGCTTCAAGAAGTATCCATGCAAGAACTATTCATAAAGGGGAGGGGAGGAGTAAGTAGAAAGCACAAGAAATGGTCCCAATGACAAATGTTCATATAGTGCTTTGGCATTTTCCAGAACAACATACATATATTCATCTACATGTTTCCCCTTTACTGTATACAACATGAAGCCTAGAAAACATTTTTCTTCAGACCAAACAAAATTTAAAATGGTTCATTAGTTTCCTTTAGGCCTCCTGTTGTCTAGCCTTAAGTTCACCACAACAATGTTTTTTTTGCTGTTGTGGATCTTTTAGAATGTCATCTTTCTGGATACACCCAGAGCTGATTAAAGACTGCAGTCTTTCATTTTCTTCTGCTACCTACTGCCACCTTTCCAAATGTAATCTACTGGCAAGAGACTGTATTAGGGATGGTCTCCTGATCCAAGCTGGAGGCCCATTCCAGGATTTATGCCATTTCATCATTTGATTCAGAGCAATTTGTACTGGAAGGAAGGAAGGAAGGAAGGAAGGAAGGAAGGAAGGAAGGA